CACTGTACTGTGTGCTTGTGCTTACCACTGATTAATGCAATACAAATAGCCTTTTGCTAATTCGTGTGCCATCTTGTTGCCTTTGTGTGTGTGTTTGCTTTGTTTCGTAGGCTTACTCGCCCATTTCGAGTGCCGCACGGGGCCCCAATGATTACCCCCTTGACACCGAGGCATATGCCAGAGGCATTGACACCTCTGAGGCGTATGCCTCAGGTGCAAGAAGCGTATGCCTCATGTGCTTTTTTCATGAGGCGTGCTAGAGGCGTACGCCTCATGCGCCTCATGCACATCTTATATAAAAATGAACCTTTTCTCACAATAGAAAAAGGAAAACAAGGGAATATGTCGAGGGTGGAAAAATTGCATGTAACCATTTTATACTAATGGAATTACAAGTGGGATGGAAAGAGACTCATCCACTGCTTTTCTCATCTACGATTTCTTTGTAGTTCAGTAGTAAAGATTTATCGTTGCTTCTCTACTTCCACAGAAGAAACTCTTAACTGTATTCTGCCGCCTAACTAGGGGCACCCAAGGAGGTAATAGTCGAGGGATAGAGCAACCCCATAGAAGATGAAGGGGAGGATGGGCGAGGAGAGTAACTTCAGGTCGGCGGTGAAATGGAGATTGGATCTAAGCATTGAAGCAAAAAATTTCCTATTTGAGCAAGGAAGAACAAAGGGTAAGATGTATCTGAAAATCAGAGAAGGCAGTAGGGCGACAATCTTTCTACCAGAGGAAGCATGCTTCTGGTTGAAAGGATTTGTTGATGGAACAATTATCACCATAAGGGAAGAAGGTTGGAGAGGGTGTTTTATCATGGTGACAGAGCATTTTGGAGTCAACAAAAAGCAAGTGATTTGCATACCGGAAGGACAGAAAGGGCAAGGTTGGGCTTCCTTTGCCTATAATATTCAGGCGTTTCTCTTGGAGGTTGAGAGGAAAGGTGCAGAAGAATCTGATAGAAGCCCAGAGGAAATTAACAGTGCTCCGGAATCTGGCAAGGAGCAAACTCCTGAAATCCTGGTTGCTAGCTCAGTTGAACACCGGAGAGTAGCACTTGAAGATGGGAGAGGGAAGTGAGAGCACAAAATGGTTTTGATGGCAGAAAGGGTAGTAAGGGACTGGTCGAAAGTATTAGATTTAGTGGCAGTTAAACTGGGTCTAGAAGGTGATGCAGTATTATTACCTTTTGCTGAAAAGAAAGTCATTCTAGATATTGGTGGTAAGAAACTGAATTTCGGCACTGCACAAACAGAAGAAGGATTGATATAGGTCTAGAACTGGGTTCCAATCTGCAATGAAGTTGAGGTTGAAGACAATAGTTTCTTGATCAAACTTTTAGGGCTACCCTTCAACCTCTGGAATGAGCCAACCCTAGGAAAAGTTGTCAGAGCTTTGGGTGGTGTTTTGTTGGAGGCAAACATGAAGAACCTGCGTGCTGTAGAACTCAAGGTTGCAGGGGTTAAACCAGATAATCTGCCTTGCTCCTTCGAAGTGCTCTCTGAAGGCGCATGGTACAAAGTGTGGCTAGCCTCAGAAGCTGAGGCGCCTCTTTAGGGAAGACGAACAGAGGTAGGGGGCGGAGATGATGTCGCAGGATGGAGGACACATGGTTTCCAGGGACTGGTGGAGAAGATTGATTTGCATGGGAGAGTGAAAGAGGAAGGGGAACAGTCACAGGGGAGTTCCAAGTCTCGAAGCCTTCCAATTAAGGCTATTAATTCAAAATTTTTTGAAACTGGGAAGAGTATTGGTGATATCCCCTCCTATGCTGATGTGGCAAGAAGGGGAAAGACTCTGGCAGGTCCTATTAGAATTGCTTTTTCCGAACCAGCTGTAAGAAAGAGTGAGCCGGTTGGAAGCCTAGGCGAGCCGAAAGGTGAACCGTCTAGCTTCTCTAGAGGCCCACGTGACAACTTAAGTGGTCAAGTGTAGACCTGTTCATGGGCCGGGCCGGGCCGGGCTCGGGCCGGGCTTTTACTGTGTATTAACAAATTTTTTTAAGGCTCGAG